AGCCCCGCATCGGGCTCCCTGCTCAGCAGGAAGCCTGCTTCTCCCTCTCCCGCTCCCCCTGCTTGTGTTCCCTCTCTCGCTGTCTCTCTCTCTCTCTCTGTCAAATAAAAATCTTTTAAAAAATAATAATAAATAAAAATTAAAAAACTTTATATGTTCTAGACAAAAAGTCCAGACAAAATCCTTATCCTTCCTTAGGCCTCAGACCTCTTAAAAATCTCAGTAAATCTATGGACTGTCTTCCCAGAAAAGACAAACACACAAGATCTTACAGATAATTTCAGGGTACTTGGGAGCATACCTAAAGCCTATCTGTGGACCACAGATGAGGAACCCTTGCCTTAGGTTCTCACTTTTGACCTACTTTCATCTCAGATTGATGAATTTGATGACTTATCAGTGTTGATTGTAATATTTTGTTTACTAAAGCATTTAATGTTTTCTTAACAGATACAGCATATATTATTTTATAAAATTTTGCTTACAGAGAAGGCAGTAAATCAGTTGTATTTTACAACTGTCTTTCTAAATTACATTTTGTAGGCATGACTAGGATTTTATGTCCCATGCACATGAACTATATAAGCGAACTAAAAGTATTTAGGACACTGATGGGCTAAGCAATTCCCAAGGATATAAGGAATTTGTCGTTCTTATACACTTACATTAAAATTGATAGAAGATAATTTTACCTTAAACTTTATAACATATTGTATAACTGCTAGAAGTTATATAGAGAAATTGAGTACAGCTTCCTTTAAATTCTTTAATTTGAATAAAATATGCTTTTTAAGTGCCATAAAGTCGTACAGAAACAAAATGTCACCTGTCTCTTTACTGTCTGTCGGGCTGTGCTTAAATCATCCCTGATAGGTAAGGATGTTTCTGTTTTTAAAGATTTCCAGTGAAGAGATTATATAGCTTTAGTTGGCAGTTGTTTCAAGTGTAATACCACTGTGAAAATCTCTGCAAAGTCTTATTTTATGTTTATCCTAAATCACTAATGATTTAGGGACTCGTACAGGGAACTCTCAGTAATGTTATCTAATGAAGAGAAAATTTCTCATAGATAATACAGACCTGGGTCATCTTCCTGCATCTTTCCTTTATTTCTGCAGGGAAATACCCTGACAAAGAAATAAGAAGTTGCAGAGGACTGACAGGCAGGCTCTAGGAATGTCTCAGGGGATAGAGTTGGCAAAATCACTTTTCTCTCCACCCTTTAATACCTTCTAAAATTTCATTCAGAAGTGAGATTGAAGGAAATGCTTAACTGAAAAGTATCCTTTTCTTAGCCATTTCAAATCCTTTGTAGGAAGAACTAGAACATAAATAAATCTAAATAAATAAAAATAACCTTTATCTACAATATGTTTTGTGGTAGATTCCTCAGTAAATGTTTGTTGAGCAAATAAGGAATAAAATTTTCTAACTGCCAGGTTTTCTGTAGAAATTTAGCCATAAATCAGCAAATGTTTATTGTAAGGCACTGTGGTAAATACTATGGAAATTAAAAACAATCCCCTTTTTAAAAGTTTCCATTATACTTGGGGAAGTGTGTGTGTGTGTGTACATATATGTTATATATGCTTACACACACATATAAATGATTAGCTTTATAATAGAGAATTGCTTAAATTCTTAGAACTTAAAATAAGAATCAAAGCTTTGATTTGAGAAGAGAACTGTCTGGATTAAAATGAACTGGAAAGGAGGTATAGAAGGAAGAGGGTGCCTGGGTGGCTCAGTCAGTTGAGCATTTGACTCTTGATTCTGGCTCAGGTCATGATCTCAGGTCGTGAAGTCAAGCCCCATCAGGCTCCACACTGGGTCTGCTGGAGGTTCTCTCTCTCTCCCTCTCCCTCCGCCCCTTTCCCTGCTTGTGCGCACTAGCACGTGTACTCTCTCTCTCTCTCTCTGAAATGAATGAATGAATTAATAAAATTTAAAAAAAAAGGGGAAGGGGGCAAAGGTGGAATCTTAAAGAATGGGAGGATTTTAAAGGGAAATCTAAAAAAGAGGATACAGAAAATGACAAACATGAGCCTAAAAGTGTTACATATATGGTTAATGTGTGAGATTGTGAGAACCTAACCAAAGTGGAAGGCGGCTACTGGAGATAAGATTAAAAAGAGGTATTACACAAAATTTTGGAGGATTTTGAATGCCAGCCTCAGGAATTTGGATTATTTTGTCCAATAGCAGAAAGCCACTGGAAGTTACTGCTTAAGAAAGCAAATTATTAATTTGCTCTCTCTCAACTTAATGAAAAAATAAAATCTTGAAAAGAACTTGAGTTGTGATGGTAGCACTGCTATAGAAATAAAAAGATGCAAGAGACATTGCAAAGGAAGAGTCTATTTAGGGGCAAACTACATGTTGCATTTAAGAGAAAATGAGAAATAGAGTTGAGGTGTTTAACTTATAAGGCAATGAGGGCAGAGATGTCGATATAAAAATTGAGTAGCAAGATGAGAAGGAGGTTTTCAAGGAAATGCAAAAAGTTTGATATTAGGCATGTTAAATTTGAATAAAAGACTGAACCTTTAGGGAAGAAGTCAGAAATAAAGATATAATTTGTTAGGTTTTTATGTGAATGTATAAATCTTTATATTCCTCGAATATCTAACACACAAACTCACACGTATATACTCTTCACTTCTTCATTCAACTAACATTTAGCAATTGCCTGCCATGTTGCAATGTAGGGGAGTGGTTAAGAGCACAGAGCTTGAAACAAAAGGGCCCAGTTTTTGCATTCTGACTCTACAACTGGACTAGCTACATGACCTACCTTTATTTTTAAATTTCTGTTTTTAAATTTTCTCATATGTAAAACTGGGGATCTCATAGGGTTATCATGAAAACTAAATAATTTAAATAAAACACTCAGAAGTGCCTGGCACATAGCACTATGAAAGTGTTTGCTGTTATTGTCACCATCATCATCATCTTCGCTATTACTTGTCAAGCTCTACTGAGTACCAAATCCTAAGGATAAACGTGCTCACCATCCAGTAGGGGTTACAGAGCTTGATACACAACAGCATATTTACACAGATTAAAAATAACTGAAAGTTAATCATTTGAATCTTTGTGGTCTTAAATTTTGTGGAAAATTATTACTGTCTAATAGTACTTGTCAGAAATTATTACTTTCATGTAAAATGTCATGGGTAAGTGAATAGTTTAGGTATCAAATTATGCAGTAGGTGTTTTCTGAGAAGGTCTTATATAAACTGAATGTTGGCTAACTTTATACATGGGATCATTGTATCATCTTAATCTCAGTAGTACTCAAAGGTTATTTCTCAGTAGCACTAACGTGCATAAATTTACCTTTAATTACATTTGGCCTAGAAGACTAGCCACTTCAGTCATTTTGCCTTTCGTCGCTTTGTTATGTTAATGTTGAGGTGCAGCAGTAATTTTAAGCTACACAAGGTACTTGAAAGTAAGCACAGTAATTTATTCTACGTTATTATTACCACCAGAAGAAAGTGAAGGTAAAACATTTGGGTTTGTCTGTCACAGAATCAATGATAGATACTCTGTGTCCTCATAAACTGTGCCATATATGGATGAAGCCATTTCCCTCTTCGTTCTGTTATGGCAATAATTATGTGTTTACTACCATATACCTTGGCACATAGTGTTCAGTAAATATTTGTGGAATTGATTTTGTGGATGACATTATTTTTTATTCTCTCCTATATATTTATAAAAATTGCTTGCTGATTTTAACAATTACTCATACACATATAGGTCACTTAAGGGGCTTACCACGTTTTTAGGCTGTGCAGCTCATTTGGAAAAAATTGAAAGCTGAAGTTATTTTAGAAGTGTTAATCTGTTGATTTATTTAAGAAGCAGAAGGTCAAAGGATAAAAAATCAATCCTGAATTAACTGGGTATTTTAATACTCAGAAATTTGATCTTTTTAAAAATTATTTTTAAGACTATATTGTTTCTGGGATGCCTGGGTGGCTCAGTCAGTTAAGCATCTGCCTTTGGCTCAGGTCATGATCCCAGGGTCCGGGCATTGAGTCCCACATCGGGCTCCTTGCTCAGTAGGGAGGCTGCTTCTCCCTCTGACTGCTACTCCCCCTGCTTGTGCTCTCTCTCTCACTCTCTGACAAATAAATAAAATCTTTAAGGAAAAAAAAAGACTATATTGTTTCTGCATCTAACCTGAGACTCTTGAAATTATCTTTGGCCAAAAGCAAGATATGCTCATATGTTGGAGGAAAAAAAAAAGAGAAAGAGGAAAAGGAAGACGGCCAGCTCTGTGTATAAGATAAATCCAGCTATTAAAGCATAAAGGATATGAATAAAATATAGCTCATATACAACCAAAACATAAATACCAATTCTGAATATACTACACTGAAATGATGTTGGAGTGATTAATATTACCTTAGATTTCTAAAAATTGAGTTCCTCTAAGAAGCACTCTATATGAATCTTAAAAATGTATACTATAGCTAAGAATCACAGTAGCTCTTATGAGATTTTATAATAACAAATACTTTATCTGTTTAATATGAGTATATGTTCATTTTAATGCCAAATAATTCCTCAAGATAATAATACTGAAAACACTTAAGTACTTTTAGAATATATGTGTGTGTGTGTTTTGGGGGGTTTTTTTGTGTGGTAAAATATATATAAAATTTAACAGTTTTTTAACATTTTTATAGTTGTGATAAAATACACATGAGATTTACCATCTTAATCATTTTTAAGTGTACAGTTCAGTAGTGTCCAGTGTTGTATTCACAGTGTACAGCTAATCTCCAGAATACATGTGCATTTTATAAAGAAATAAATGAGTCGTTTAAAATATGGTCTATTGAAAAGAGACTTTGTTTTACACATAAGGTATTTTTGTTTAAAACATGAACAGAACATATATCTCACTAAAAAAGATTCTATTTTGCTAGATTTTTGAACAATGATATTAATGACTTGGGTGGGGGGAACTGTCTCTTGATTAATAGGAGTGAGCTGAGTCGACAGAAACTTCATACCCAAGAGCTGCTTTCTCAGCTGGAAATGGCAAATGAAAAGGTAGTTGAGGTAAGATAATGACTCTCCTGGGAAGTACTTTCTGCTGCAGCTTGATACACATGTTACAGAATTTTATCTGAGCCAACTCCAAATTAATTCTCTACTTGGAAATGACCATACAGGGGTGAGTACTCCTTGTAGAGAAATCATCCATAACCCTAAAAGTCCACATTTTATAATGTGAATAAAAGCTTTGAAAGTCAGTGACTCATCATATGTAAATGACAAAAGGTAGAGCTCCTATTTCAGTTTCCCCAATATAACTTGTGCCATGTTGCAGAAAATGTGTTAAGATCCCCTTCATTTCTAAGCATGTTTAAGATTATATTTTTTAGCCCTTTCTCATATTTTGTTTTAATTCAACACATAAGAAATGTAGAAATTACCTTTGCCTACTGGAATGTATTAAAATACTCCTTCAGATTAATGCTTTAGAACTAAATGCAACAAGAGCTCATCATTTTCCTCTTTGAATCTTTAAAAAAAAGTTAATGTCTAGATTATGATTAGAGCTTTCTAGAACTCTAGTTCTTCGTTTGATGTTCTAACTTCAAATGTATTTGTTGGAATTTCATTAATACGCTATATGGTCCACTATATTTTTGTGGCCATCTATAGAGAGGCCATAATGAAATCATTACTCTTAAGTTTCAAAGCACTATAAATTGATATGAGCCATTTAGAATACAAACAATAGCCATTAAAATACTTGTAGTTTTCAAAACTTCCAGGAATCTGTACTTAAGGAAATAATTTAAAATATGAAAAAATTTAAAGGCAGATATTCAACACAATAATGTTAATAATATTAGAAGATCAAAAGCAACCAAAATAATCAGTTGAAAAAGAACAGTTGCATATATTATGATTTACCTAACCTGGACTGTTTCTTAACCATTATGATGGTAGCACAGAAAAATGTATATTGTATGTAATCTGATGGTACCTATGAAAGTGATTATTATAGATGATGTGATTTTACCCCCAGGTTTTCTCTAGTGTTAATGATGTGCCTTTTAAATTTAAGACTACATATTTAAATATCTTAGTAAATTGAAACAGCCAGTATAGTTCTCTTCATAAAATTTAATTTTGCTTTTGGGCACAATAAAAAATATAACCTTGTTTTAGCAGTATATTGTTATTTCAGTATTTTATATTACTAGGCATGACATTCACCGTTACCACATATGTTAGGGAACTATCTAGTTCTTCATAGAAAGTGTGTTTTTTTTACTATTCCTGATTAGACTGCTGTTACTCTCTCAATTCAGAAAAGTGCCAGAAAACCACATAATAATTCTAGTTGTACAGAAACTTTTTTTTTCAGGCTAGTAAGTATGGAAAGGACAAATACATTTTATAATTGATAGTTTCTTTGAACTTGTCTGCATGACAGCATGTTGTGATAGATTTATATTCATAATGTCCATATAGTTTCCTAAGGCTACTCTAACAAAGTATTATGAACTTGGTGATTTAAGCAACAGAAATTTACTGTCTCACAACTCTGGAGGCCAGAAGTCCAAATCAAGAAGTCAGCAAAATTGGTTCCCTCTGAGGGAGAACCTGTTCTATGCCTCTCTCCTAGTTTCTGGTGGCCTCATGCGTTCCTTGGTTTGTAGATGGTATTTTCCCTGTGTCTTCATGTGGTCTTCCCTTTGTCCATGTCAGTCTCTGTGTCCAAATTTCCCCTTTTTATGAAGGTACTAGGCATATTGGATTAGGATCCACCCTAAAACCTCATCTTACCTTAATTATCAGCAAAGACCCTATTTCCAAATAAGATCACATTCATAAGTACTGGGGTTTAAGACTTCAACATCCTTTTTTAGGGACATAATTCAATCCATACCAATGCCATATTTGTTGATGATCCTAATATCCTCTAGAGTATACAAATGTATTAGGGAGCATGTAGAAACAGAGTTCTTCCCCCTTTTAAGTAACACCTTTAACATACAAATCGTTTAAGATGAGTCTATCTTTTTCAAAAATCAAGATTTCTAGAATGAATATTTTCTGTTCTCTGCACTTTAATAGTGGCAACGTCACAATTTCTCTAGAAGCTTGCTTTCACATGGTAGTTCTGAATCACTAGCAAACAACATCAACACCACCCAAGAACTCGGTAGGAGTGCCAATTCTCAAAATTCATCCCATCCTACTGAAGCTCTGGTTGTGTTTTCATATTCTAGGTGATTCTGAAGCAGTGATCTAGCATCCCAAGGTTAATATCAAATATTAAAAAAAAATGTATTGAAAATCTTGGTCTTCTGATTCACTTTGATTTTAAATTTAATTCACTTTCTTTGGTAACATGTAGAGGGGAAAAAAATAATGTAGTCAAAGTGTGAAACCAATTTTGAACTTTGAAATTCATAATTTGAAAAAATGTAAATTTGGAGCTATATTATCTTTGCGTTTTATAAGGAGTAAAGGAATACTCAAATTTTTCATTGATTATTCCACAAAACCTTTCTGTGTCACATATGGATTTCTAACTTGTTTGTTTTGTATTTCCCCATAACAGAATGAAAAACTAATTCTAGAGCATCAAGAAAAAGCCAACAGACTTCAAAGGCGTCTAAGTCAGGCAGAACAGAGAGCGGCTTCGGCTTCCCAGCAGGTAGGGAGCTTCCTCATTATCCCTGACAGTAAATAGTCTGAGTAGATCAAAAGATAAGAAAAGTTCCTCAAAAGTTCCCAGAGAACTAGTAGTTTTATTTTTACTTGATTAAACTATTTAAAAGTAGTCTCTTTAATATTTGAGGTTGAAAAAGTAAACTTTAAAAACAGAAATAAACACGAGTCTCCTAAATTGACACCTAAATCTAGAACTGTGCTGTCCAATATGATAGCCACTAGCCATAAGCAGCAGTTTAAATTTAAATTAATTATTAAAATTAAGTAAATTAAAATTTGAAATCCTCATTACACTGGCTGGGTTTCTTTCTTTTTTTTTTTTTAGATTTATTTATTTGAGAGAGAGAGAGAGTGCACATGCAAGTGAGGGAAGGAGCAGAGGGTGAAGGAGAGAATCTCAAGCAGACTCCATGCTGAGTGCAGAGCCCAATGCAGGGCTCGATCCTACAACTCAGAGATCATGACCTGAGCCAAAACCAAGAGTCCAGATGCCTAACCGAATGAGCCACCCAGGTGCCCCGCACTGGCTGGCTTTCAAGTGCTCGGTAGCCATATGTAACTATGATCCTCATATTGGACAGCATAAATAGAACTCTATGATCACAGAAAGTTCTTTTGAACAGCACTGCTCTAGAATTTTATTCTGTCTAGGCATGATCACTGACAGATTTGAAAGTAGAAAACATTGCTTTGAATGTAATATTTCTAATTGCACTTTGTTTTTATTGTAGTTTTTTAAATGGAAAAAATGACTTAAAGGTTAAGTTCATTTAATGCACATTTGTATATAACCATATAAATCTAAAATACTGTATAAGTTGTCCAATGGGAAATAGAGTAGAAAATGCAGAACATCAATAAAATACTAAGGGGTAATTACTCATACACACATCATGTAAAGAAAATGGGCCAGTTACTTAAAGTGGGAGCAATAGTTCCTCCTACCTCCTATTAGGAACAATATGAGATCATCTAGTGATTATAAAGATAGGCTGGAAACAGTTTAGATGGATAGATCTAGATAGGCAGGCAAAGAAACCATGTTACTACCTTATTAAATATGTTTGGTTATAAATGTACTGTTTCAATCAAAATTAATATTATGCATAGATATAACAGTATTTCATACATACTACAGCAGCTCTAAATACTCATTGATTTCAGTTTATGTATGTGATATTTATAGATTTTTTTTGAAATCTACTTCTGATATGAACAATGCATGGCACTTAAAGAAAATCCAGTAATTTGCCCTTCTGTTCCCCTCTCCCTTGAAAGTAATTATAGCTTTATCGAATAAATTTAATTTTTTATTAAATTATGAATTAATGGATTAAGTAGTTTATCATTCAAGAAAGCATTCATTCATTTAGATTATAAGTTAACAGGAGCCAAGGTGTACTGGGCAGTATCTTAAGAGTGTGTGTTTTAATGTCAGGCACATAGCCTGGGGCCATTAAGTAGCCATGTGATTTGGGGCAATTTCAACTTTTCTAAGCCTCAGTGTCTTCGTGCTTGATGTAGAATAATAACACTTCCCTTATAGAGTTACTGAAAAATCAAAGGAATTAACACATATAAGCATTTAGTATAATCATTAAGTGGTTAGTAAATACTTGGTTATATAAGAAGTTAAATTCTACATCACAGTCCTAAGAGCTTTAAGTTTGCCTTTTTTAAGGAATATGGTAAAGAAAATGCCTACTTAAAATCAACTACCTTGAGTTCTATAGGTACAGTTATAGAACGTTAGTTAGATAATCCAGTTGGCATCTCGTTTAGTCTCCGTCCAGGTAGAATTAAACCCAAGCATCCCAACACAGGTGTTTTTCTCCTGTTACTTAAACTCTCTAATGACAAAGATTTCACCCTTCTGTTTGTGAGCTTTTTTTTTTTTTAATGCTGTGTCAGTAACCACTTCACAGTTTTTTCCTTAAGCTTTTCTCCTTCCATCCTGTTTTCATTGAAGATGAAAAGTAATCATTCAGCATTGTCCTTACCCACAAAAAGGAATTATTCCCTAGAGTGGAGTTAATATTTTTTCTCTCTTAAATGAGTCCAAGTTATAAACTTTTTGTATTAGACATATGTTCAGTTTTTTAAAATCTTTATCTTTGCTTTCTCTGGATTCTTTCTAATTTTCCCATCTTCCTCTAAAAACTAGAAACTGTTATTAGAAAGACTATCCTGGTAAGGGCCTGATTACTCAACGAAACAAAGGATTGGAGTTAGAAGATTATTATTTCCTCTAACATGCAGCCCAGCATCATGCGCAAGCCCTGCATTGTACCGAGTCTTCCATGCTCTGAATGTGCTATTCTGATCAACTTTTTCTGTACATTCTTCATCCATCTTTGGACTATGGTTATATGTTCTAAGTGTATTAGTCTAAACTACTGAAAGCCATACTGCGTTCTTTTAACACTAAAATCAGTGTGGTGAAGCCTTTCTACGCAAGAACACAAAACCTAGGAACTATGAAAAGAAATTAATAAATGTGAACATGTAAAATTTCAGATATCTGCATTTTAAAGTCATAAAATCAATGACAAACTGAGAAAAATATCTGCAATCCTGTGACAAAAGTAATATCCTTAACATATATATAAAGAATGGCTAAATCAACAAAAAAAGTGCAACAGTACAATAGACAAAGAATAAAACTTATAGAAAAGGAAAGACAGATGGCTTTTAAATATTTGAAAAGATGCTCATCCTTACCCATAAGACAAATACAAGCTTAAACCATAATCACATATCATTTTTCACCGTTTCACAATCATGTCAGATCATGAAGTTTGTTAATACATTAAGCTGGCGCTTCCACACATTACTAATGTAAATGTGTGTTGGTGCAATCTCTTTGGAGCCCAATTTGGCAGTATCTCTCAAAAAATTGTGATGTACATCACCTTTGACCCAGTCGTTCTAAGAATTTATTCTGCAGGTGGTGTCCTTGGACCTGGGCAAGTCTGTGCAGGAAAGCATGTCAAAATACTAATTGCAGCATTGCCTATAATTTTAAAAGATTAAAAGCCACCTAAATGCCCATCCATAGAAAACCAGGAAAGTTTGCTGCTGTTAAGGGGAATAAAGTAGGTCTCACATGGAGTCATTTGTAAAGTAGATCATTTAGAAGGAAAAAAACCAAGATGAAAGGTGTGTATTTTATCATTTTTTAAATAAAAAGAGGTGAGGAAATATATGCATCTATTCTCATTTAGAATTTATTTCTAGAAATATACTTAGAAAATGGAAATGATTGTATCTGGAAAGAGGGCTATAGAATGAAGGACAGCGGTGAGACGGATTCTTTATGATGTATACTCTATTGTACTGTTAGATTTTTTTTTTTACTTTGTATGTATAATATCAACTCCAATTGATTACCAGTCTTGTGTTGTGCTGGCTCACACTTAGTTTGTATTTTACTCACTTTTCTAGTTAACTTTTTATCTAGATGTTTTTAATCCATCTGTGAAATATGTTTTAGAATTCTAAGTACTGTATATCACTCTGAGCTATGGAATGTCATATTTGCCCTGCATATCTCTAGTGTAATACAGGTATTTTAAAGTCTCAAGAGTAAAACATACATGAACACCAAAAATGACCTCTTACAGGACCCTCTCCAGTAAGATTATTTTCAATAATTGTAAGTTGTGATGCATTATACTTTGTATTAGTGTAAGATTTTCCATAGAAAAAGTAACTATTTACTGATTGTCTATTTTAATTGCAGCTCAGTGTGATTACAGTGCAGAGAAGAAAAGCAGCCTCCATGATGAATCTGGAAAATATTTAAAAATATTCATAGTTCACTCACAGAACTTTAGAATTGGGAAAGCTGTTGGACTAGAAGTGTATTGAAATGGTAAAAACCTGCAGAGAATGGTTAAGGCTTGTGTCATTTTGCATAAGCATTTTCCATTCTGTTTTGAGGGTTATGAGAAAACAGAACAGTGGCAGCTTCCTGTAAGTAAAGAAAATATAACCCTATATTGAGCTTCAGTGGAGAATAAAGCCAACTGAGAAGAATTCATTGCCTTCATCAACGTGTCTGTTTTTCAATTCCCCCTTTCTTCCGTTGGAAGAGCATAATAATTTTCAAACTATACTAATCATGGGAAAGAGATTTTTAAGACAATGTTAGATTTTAATATTTCAGGTTCCATGATTTGAGAATTTTACATCTAATTGTTACTCCTAACTCATTTTTTTAAGTTCCCAAGTATCCAATTTATTATAAACTCATAAATGTAATAAATTATGCACTTTCTAAAATGATTCTGTCATGTATTTTAATGTATAATTGTAGTGATTCGTTTTTAATTTACACGATTTCCAGTATTTATCATATATTGATATTTAAGAATATGGGAGGTTTTGTTTTTTGTTTTTGCTCTGTTACTCAAAGCAGTACTAATCAAGTGGAATCTTCAAGTCTGAGAATGCGTGGGCATTGAACTATTGCAGTCTAGTTGATTTTCACAGATCCACGTAGTTAGCTCTTCTCTGCTCCTAGTTTGAACTTGGGACACCTGCTTTCTGCTGATGAGTGCAGATAAGTGCGCATCTGGTTAACAAGTTAGGAAACTATTGCAGTAGTCCAGATAAAAGATAATGAATTGAGTTTGAAGTGACATGAAAACATTCATGTGCCAATATTCAAGCAGCTGTCAGAAGCTTAGGACTGGTGCTAGCAAACCGGGATAGGAAGGGTGTCTTTGGCACGGGACTGAGAATCGAAGCCATGGAGTATAGGAGCTTGCCTGGAGGCTTCATGTGATGTGGCTGACTACCTCTTCCCCTCATTTCTTGTGCTACAGCTCTGATGGTGGCCTTCTGCTTCCGTCAGTACATCATCCTTCCTCCTCGCAGGATCTCCATGCCTCCCTTGCCATCTGCACGTTCTTCAGATCACCACTGCTCAGACATCCCTGTCTCAGAGAACCTTCCAGCCCCCAGACTAGGTTAGGTCCCCTTGTATTTCTCATAACAGTGTGCTGGATTTTTGATTCATAGCACTTGGGAGAATTTGTAATTAACTCTTTTTGAATTTTTTCTTCAATGTCATCAGTCTGCAGACTCCTTGAGAACAAGACCCATGTCTGCTCTCCTTCCTTGTATTCTTAGCAACTCAACATAGTTTCTGGCACACAGAGGGTATTCAATAACTGTTTTATTCAGAAACTGAAAAAGAATTTTTAAGGACAGGACCTTAGAAAATGTCTTCATTTTGTTGAATGAGTTCGGGGAGAGGAATCCTTGAAGGAGACTGAACAGGAGCAGTAAGAAGGCTGTAGCCAAGAGAATCCAAGATGACAAAAACTAAAGGAGGCAGGGATTCTGATCTTATGTGTAGGAGGGGACAAATGGTTCCTAGTGTCCAATGCCGTGATGAGATGAAATAATACAAATATGATATTTATTTTTTTTTAAAGATTTTATTTATTTGACGGAGAGAGACACAGCGAGAGAGGGAACACAAGCAAGGGGGAGTGGGAGAGGGAGAAGCAGGCTTCCCGCTGAGCGAAGAGCCCGATGCAGGGCTCAATCCCAGGACCCTAGGATCATGACCCGAGCTGAAGGCAGACGCTTAATGACTGAGCCACCCAGGCACCCCCAAATATGATATTTAAATGATAATTAGGCACTTAGCTTACTTTCATTTCCTAAGAATTTTTCATTTGATTGATTCTCTAATGTAAAGTTCTTCCCATGTCATTCGCAGACTAATTTCCATGTAATGAGTTATGTTCATATTCATGTTTATAGAATATAAAATTTATTTTTAAAAACTTTTAATTAGAGAAGATGTTAGAATTATATCGTACCAAAAAAAAAATGAGACTGGAGGAGGAAGCACTTTGGAAACTAACATCATAGACAAATGGAAAGTATGATTGTTGTCCTTTTTCAAGAAGAAAATCTAACTTCCCAGACTCATTTCTTCAAGGTAAATCTTTCAGCATAAGCACTTTCTCTGAACTTTGGCCATAAGCACCTACTCTTTACATTTGAATATTGATAACCTTCTCTCCAGTTGGATCTCCTTGAATACTTAGACAGTCTCCAAGTAAAGGATAGGCGGATAGGCTACTGACAGGCAGATGATAGGCCTTTCTTACCTCTGCTGAATTTGAACAGACTTAAGCTGTGTTTACCAACAGAACTGAACATACATGTTATTTTTCTTTCAGAGAAGTTTGTTAGCTGATGATTTCCAATGTAAAAATGTAGTGGAGTTTTTGACTTTTCTCATATTGGTCAGTCTTGCCTTCATTTACAAAGAATATAAGCATCATTTTTCTGTGAACTGTATTTTAGGAGACAGGGGAAATGAATAGGAAAAAGAAAAGAAATGATGTAAATCTGAAATTGAAGACAACACAGCCAGTTCATTTTATTTATTCATGTTTCTTTATTTGTGTCTCCCTGAAGAAGAAAAGAGATATGATTACCTCTTCTTCCCTTTGTATACAAATATGCAAATTGGGGCAGCCAACAATCTTCTAATTTCTCCTCTGGTGTGATCACTGTAACTACCCCAAATATGGGAGAACATTAGCAACAATTCAGTCATTCGTTTATTCAGCAAATATGAATATTTCATAGCTGCACAGTCTGCCAAGCCAACTCTCAGACAAATCAAGGAAGAATGAAAAAATACTTTAAACATTTTGGTATAAATTCTGTTCTTTAACCATAATGTATTTTATCAATTTTTCCAAAATAGCAAATCTGTAATGGGCTTTTTTACAAACATTTTAATCAAAAATAGGTTTTTTTTTAGTTTATTTAAAAATGTATATATACAAAGAGATATGTGCACAGAGAAGAGACAGACACGGCAGTACCCCAGTGTTATGTATGAAATCTGTCCCTTACCAGCCCTTCAGACTTGTTCATATGTGTGCCTCTAGGGCAGTGTTAACTGTCTTATCTTAGTATTTATATAGAAACTAAATATGTATCTACTTAAATAAGAAAAATCATAGGATGGGTGGGAAGGCATCTTTAATTTTTTTCAACACTGGCGCTCACCCAGCTACCAAGGAAACAATCTACACTGAGGAAGTGGTCTTGTAGCCCAAGGGTTCAGCACAAAACATGCTCATGTGCCCCACTTTTCTGTAGACACTCCCATGTACTAGCTCTAACACCACTCTTGTTTCTGCCACTGAAAAAGTAGACTGGAATTTTAAGCATATGAGAATAACATTATGGAACTGACTTTGAATCTTCTCTAGTTTATTTCTTTCTAAATACACATTCTTAAAGTTCACTATTTTTAGAAAACAAATTGCTGTTATTGGACACCGCTGTTGAAATTCACTGGGGTGGAGGGGATAGGGGTACTCTCCTGGAGCTGGCCCAGTCCCCACTTTACAACAGTTTTGACCATTAGAAAGTTCTTCCTTACATGGAACTGAGATGTGTCTTTCTGCCTTAGTTCTACCTTGTGCAACAGAGTCTAAGCCATCTTACATGTGGCAGGTCTTTGGCCTTTAGAAAATAATCATCACATTCTCCTTGCACTTAGCAGACATCTACATTTCCTCAGAGGACTTGGTTTTGAGTCCTTTTGCCAACCAGGCACTGGCTTCTGAAAGTCCTCCAATCTTCATATATCCTGCTTCATTCATTCAATAAATACTTATGAGCACCTGCTTTACACCAGGTATGCTTACGATGCATCAGTCTTATGACCAAAACCAAAAATTATATTCAGGGTGTAAAAAAACTATTCCCTTGTTCTAGATTATGACAGAGAGGTGGGGAGAGGGTAAGTGGTAGCTACCTGAGTGTGGGGAAGACAATGTATTAGAATCTCCAGGGCAAGGGTATGGTTCAAACTACATACCCTTCCCCTTTTCCCAACCCCAAGAACAGTCTGACACAGTCTCTTAGGGAAGCATGCTTTGGGAGTTTACTATAGTTAGTGATTCATGGAAATGTACACATAATTTCTCATTAGTATTTGGAATGAGAAAAAAGAAAATTACTATTCTAGAGTGTGCACTTCCATTAATGCAGCTTAAAATCATGTTCACTTTTTTAGAGAATTTGAATTTCACTGTTGGAGATATTGAGCATATTGTTGACTCAAATCTTAAAGCCTTTTCCAGAACTTTTGTTGCTAAGCCATATCTTTGCCCCAAAAGCCAGACTGGTCATCCATCCCTTTTAAATTTTATTATGTCATTACAGGGTGCTGCTGAGGTCCTTTTAGCTCCAATTCTGTCATCCAGTTTGTTACTTATAAGCATAGGGACCGTGTCTGCCTTATTTTGTTTTAGTGCTATATATCTTGTATCACTGACAACTTTTTATTTATAGCAATGCCATCTATCAATTTGGTAAACATACCACCCATATTTTCATGATAAGCATGAGAAAGAGGAGACCTAGACAGATGTGAGTACAGTTGGTCTCTTAGAACACACCAACCACCAGATCCCATAATGGATAATTAATCAGGATCCATAGGGCCTGGTCATTTCAGCCCGTTTTTAATCTGGCCCATTTACTGCTGCTTCACCATCACAAAAGCATCAAGGAAGACCCAGCATTCTGTCCAGCAAAAGTTCCTTTATGCCACAACTGTCATACTTTCCAGATCTAATCTAGTAATCCTAAGAAGAAAACGTAGTCAGATTTCTTTTTTTAGGATTTATTTATTTATTTGAGAGGGAGAGAAGCAGACTCCATGCTGAGCACAGAGCCCCACTTGGGGCTGAGACTATGACCTGAGCCGAAATCAAGAGTCAGCCACTCAACCGACTGAGCCACCTGGGTGCCCCCAGATATTTCTTTTTAGTAGATCCATGTAGCAGCCTAGTAATCACTGGGGTTTTTTTATGTTTATTTAAAACCCTTGAAGCTTTTAATATAGCATCATGGAAATTTTCATTCAATATTTTCATCCTATTTTCAAAGAATTAAAAAAATCAGAGCAAAATGTGGTGCATAGAAAATCTGTTAGCACTAAGATTTGTGAAAATTAAAAATATGAGACTAGCATCTCCTTTCATATAAACTATAGGGGATAAAAGAGAATGGGAAAAGTTATAATCATGTTTCTACAAGTAACCAAAAGAATGCATTGGGGAATCTTTCCCTGGATCTACAGTGATCATGCTGATCTGTATGACTACTATCTATTTATTGAGCACCTGTCATATGTAAGATAGGTGCTGGCATTTTGCATTTATTACCTCTTAGAATTCAGCAGACCTGCTGGTTAGGTTTTATCCTTCCCTTTCCAAAGATACAAGGTATT